ATAGGAGACCAGTATATCATACCGGCCCATCTGAGAGGAGAGGCACAAGCCAGGGACTTTGACCTAGATGACCTGACACACTTCAAGTTGAACCTGAACGTCTCAGCAATCTTCAAGCGTCTTCCGGCTACAAAGGATCTCGACCAAACTGTTCTGGAACAGATAATTGACACCATGCCAGCGTCCGACGAAGAGGCTCCTAAACTGTCCGAGTTGAAAAGGAAAATGGCCGAGTGGGACCACAAGCCGACCAGTGACGTCCGCGAAGTCTCAGTGATTGGCCACACTTCAATCTCCATTGGAACACTGGGAGTGGTTGGAGTGGTGATCCTCGCCATCTTCCTATGCCGCAGAAATGTCACACCCAACAGCACACACGTCATCCAAAGCCCTCCGACAGTATCCGCCCCAATCAATTCCGAAAGCCCGAACTCAGCCATCATTTCGCTGCAGACACGAATGGGTTCCCTGGAACGGGCAATGGCCGAAGCAAAAGAAGAAGCCTCAAAGGTCGCTACGGTACAGAAACAAATTCGGGAGCTACAAGAAAAGTGCGAAGAGCTGCTGTAATAGGCAAGAACGAAATATCCTATCCAAAGGACCAATCCTCAAAAGGTAACTTCCTTTCAGCCATCCTACCCATTACAAGGGTCAGGCACAGGACCCAGGTGATCCATTCCTTCCCCCCAGCGATTCCCAAAACCCCACGTTTTTTTTCAGGAACCAGACGAACGACGTCGCCACCAAGGAGGAGGAGGAGGAGGCAAGGGCGTTGCCACAAACGCCCAGGGCCCAGCGTCAAGGGCTCGAGCTACACGACTACGCCAGCTGAACCGGAATGGACCCAACCGACCGAAGGGCCTCGCCAGACGACGAACTGGAGGCAAGGCCCAGGACTCCGCACCCAAGTTGCCACAGGCGAGCCACGCTGGACTTCGAGCAAAAGTGTGGGGGTGATGTACAGATATGATGATGCGCACGCGGTGTGTGTGATAGGTTTAAGTAGTGAAGGGCGCCTACCGCCTGAGAAGGCAACAGGTGTGTAGTGTGTACCGACCGGCCGACCTGTCGGGACTCTACCCTAGAAATGTGGGGAAACGTTCGGGGAATAGGGGCGGGGGCGTATATCATGTAAGCTAGGTTAAGGTAAGGGGTGGCAAGGGTCTGGCCTCAAGGGAAATTCACATCCAGTCCAGTCACAACGTCCAGTCACTAGAAGACCCCAGAGCCACTCACCCTATCGTCCAAAACCAAAACCCACCCATCCCGCTTCTTAATGGTCACAGAAGCAGGCGTCGCCGCCCAAGACACCGAGGGAACATGCGGATCTGCAAGTCACAAGGCCTCCGGACCTTCGTACAAGACACTCCACTTCAATTGTGAGGGCACAATTAAAAGAAGAAGCCTGAAAATGTAACAGCTGAATGCTGTGACATTTTTTTTCATCAAAATCCTACATTTTTCATACATATAAACTGCCTCACATGGTACCCTGTCTGCCGGGACGCCGGGCCACGGAGGAGACCGGGTCACACGCCTACCGAGCAGCTGCGCCATCGAGCCGGCTAATGCCGCAAGATCAAACGCTCGCCGACGGATAGCGCAAACAAACTCCACCCGACGCCGAGCCAGTGGCCGACACGCCGGCGCCTCGTCATCCTCTGGAAAACCGGGGCCGGGCCAGCTGCGTCCGACATCGCTGGAAGTCGACATCCGGCGAAACACCTGGTGCTGGCTAGTGCGAAAACACCGCGTCCGGTGCAGCCAAGGACCGACACCCGGCGGAAATCGAGTGAGAAAACGTCACATCCGACACCGGCAACGGGGGCCGACTCCAGCGGAAACAGCGGAGGAGGGGAGAAATCCGAAGCTTCGGCCACGCCGGACACGCTTCCTCTCGAAGCCCCGGTCAGGGCTTCCGCCGGAGGTCATGCCAGGAAAGGACCGATTAACTGTCCCGGTCACAGAAATCGACCCCCGCCGGAACCGGATAACGAAAGGAATAAAATCGGACCGCAGAAGAGGAGAGACACAGAACACCCGGGGAGTCTCTGCCGGCTGGACCAGTGCTCTCTTCCTCTGACTCTCTGGTGCAACACTCATCAAGAACAAGACCAATCTTCGACGCCGCCAAAATTCAAGTGAGTCACCAGCAGAAAGCTGCCTGCCACTCCCAGCCCTCCAGCCATGCCCACCACACACGCATTCTCTCCCCCTCCCCCCCCATATCTACCGGGCATCTACCCCAGTCTAGACCTACCGTCCCGTAGGGTCAGGCCTTGCCACCATTAGCAGATTTAACAGCTGGGGGTAGGGTGATGGGGATTGTTTGACGGCGCCGCACTGCCGGGTGCGGCAATGGTCCATTTACATTTTGTGTTGGAGCCGGGACCATTTGCCAACCATTTACGCTCTTTTGTATGCGACCGCCAGGGCCGGGGATAGGATCGTGGGAGGGTAGGAAAGTTTAGGCGCAGCTGAGGGAAGAGGGTCAGCGTAATGGTTTCACGGTATCCGGGTCTCGCCCTGCCAGCGAGTGGCGAGGGCTCACGTGACAAATATGTATCGGAACGAGGACCATTTACTGGCTATTTTTGCCCTTGTACCCGGTCGCGATGGTGAGGTGTGAGATTAGGACAGGGCGTAGGAGGGGAGTCGGGTCACAAGTAACGCGGGGCGGCACCAGCCCGTCTGCCGAGTCGGCGGGCCGCCAACGACCGCACCCCTTGACTTTGTGTCACCTGATGCGTCGCGATGATGTCACTAATCAAGTCTAGAATTAAGAATGAGGTAGGCCGCGCTTGTTAGGTTTAGGTTTAAGTAAATAACGGGATTGACAAGTTGACAACCCTGAGTACGGTTTACCGATTGCACATTGGTTAGTTTTGTCATTAAATGTCCATGTAGTGTAAAATAAAGCGTGAAAAATTAAACAACCTGTCTGGGAAAGGGAAATGGGTAGCTATTTTGCGTTGCGAGACGAGTATCAAGGAGGTCACTGACGCCAGAAACAACCACTTACGATTAGTGGTCAGATGGTCAAAGTATGACGCCGCGCACCACGCACAGAGCGACCAGGGTTGAACACTACACGCAGCGGAGCGGTCGGTCGGGCCAGGGGGTCAACTGTCACCACAACGGAACTATCAGCGCCTGGCTTGGCGTATAACCCAGATTTGAGTCAGCAACACTTCACTGTGTGGTCCATCGGGTATACCAAAAGCAGATAAGATTAATGTCGTCCAGATTTTTTCACGAAATGAACTGTCATTTGGTGCTAATTCCAGTCACCTGCACGCAATGTTATATGTTTATGCCGAATTTCCAAAAGTGTTCCCCTTTTTTTTCTCTCTCAACTCTGTAAGTGAATATCCGCCTCCCCAACCGTCAGCCTACAATCATGCCTTGTTTTCGCCTAATTACCCTCAGCATTCACAAAGATGTAACGAACCCACGCACCCCAGACTTGAATTGAAATTTAACGTAAGATCGCCGCCAGTAGTAACTTGATGCCTAATATAATGCCGTCTATTAATGAAATGTCTCAAGGAGTCAATAAAACCAACCTTTAAAGTAAGGTGAAACAAGAGGCGCAGCTCATGGCATATCATCATGTAAATTCCTGAAAAATCAGCGCTTGGTCCCTGAGCATGGATATCTTCAGCGATCGGTGCCCAAACCAGTCATAACTTACTATTACGCATTTTGTCATACCCATGATAGACGCCTTACGTTACTTCGGGAAACGAAAAATGGTCACATTGACTTTAAGCCAAAATCTGAGTAAGAATTTTTTTTTTCTTGAAATCGTTCCAAACGAACCGTTCAATACGTATTACAAACCGTTCAATACGTGTTAAAGCAGGATTTCTCTAACAAGAAAAGGTTACAGGACAAGTGATAGGGGGGTTTCCCACTCCGTATAATAATCAGTGTTCTAAATCTTGTTGTTTTATCTAGTTTAAGTATCGCCCTCCCAGACCCCTTGAGTGCGAGACGCGATTTAAGATTTTTCATTAATTAATGATGACGAAGGGTCGGTTTAAGGCAATGCAGCATATGTATCTCTCGCGGACGGGGCTAGGCATCAATCCCCCGATGGCTAGTGACCCGTGCGTACTAGTGGTGTCAATCGGAACTTGAATCTTCGGAATTCCGATTTTTTGTCCAATGTCCAATTCGGAATTCGGCTGGACAATGACAGCAGACTTTGGACAACTTTGGACAATCGCTTGATACACCTCAACATTTTTATAAAGTAAGCGTGTTTAACATTGTTTGGCTATTAGAAAGCTCAGCTTTCGATGTGATTACCACTTTTGAGCTGGTAACGATACATTAAAAGCAAATTAATTAACGGTGTTGAGCGTAAACTATTGTGTAGATGTCGGACATCTTTGGACAAATGGCTGGCTTGGACATTTTTGGACGGACAGTCGACGTAAGTATTGGACATTGGACGGACATTGGACATATGTTTTCTGAAATTGACATCACTAGTGCGTACACCACTAGAGGACATGGGACCAAGGTCGGTTAAAACAAGGACAAGGATAACGTTCCACACTGTTGTGACGGCCGCCGGGATGGGCGAACCTCGCAATTGATCTGGGTCCCCAGGCCGTTGATTCCTCGTTGTCGATTCTCTGTCTCCCTGTCTCTATCTCTCTCCCTCTCTCTCTCTCTCTCCCTCTCTCTGCTCCTCGCTCTCTTTCCGTCTGTCTCTCGCTCCCCTCCGCCCTCTCTATCTCTTCCTGTTAGTCTTTGTCTCTGGCTCTCTCTCTCTCTCTCTCTCTCTCCGTACCCCTCGCCACCCCTATCTCAGTGTCTTCGCCGTCCCCTCCCCGTCTCCCCCTCGCGCCCTTCCGATCTGTTACCCCCGCCTCCTTTTTCCGTCCCCACCACCCTCGCTCACACTCTCCCATCTATCGCTCTCTCCGCCTCTCATCGCTCTCGTCGCTCCTCTCTGATCTAACCCATCCTTGGCACAGGCCAAACACTTTCAAGGGGGCCGCGTGGGTGTTTATTGAATCAATCAGTGAAGACAATTTTAGCAAAAAGACCATCGGAAAAAAAATCCGCCCGCCGGGCCGGTGCTCGGGGCGGGCTAAAACTCCCCCGACAACGACCCGGGCGGGCAGATGCCGCCCAGCACCGCCCAGCGGAGGAGGGGCCGAACCCCCGGCCGGGGGTTGGTGATGTCGGCGGCGACGTGAAGCATTATCTGCCGCATCCGCAGCAAGTCCAGCCGCAGCCGGGCTACTTCTTTCTTGGCAGACTCCTGAAAGAGAGAAAAATGGTGAGGAGTGTACCGTATCAATCACGAACGACAAGGGTAATTAATTACGGGAAAGAGAACAAAAAGGGAAAAAGGGGGGGACTTGGAAAAAAAAAACACCAGCAACAACAACCGATTTAGGCCGTAGGATACTAATGGGACCCGGGATGGAAAAAAACACATTTTTCCAAATAAAACTCCCAAGTGCCTCACATCTTTAGCACTAACACGGGAAACTGAGTACAAAGAAAACATTATTCAAATTTCCAAGTACCTCACCTCCTTGATCTGCAGAGCTGTCTCCAAGTTGGTAATTTGGCGCCGCAACTCTTCGATCTGCACGTCCCGAGGATCCGGGAGTGGCGGCTCTGGCGTGTAGCGGGGTAACGACCCCGCTGTCGCCGAGGACATATCGCTCGACGGCGACCACGGCTCCGGCGACGGGGATGCCGGTGTGAGGGGCGGGCTCCTTAGCGGCATGTTCTCTGAGTGACGTCTCGATACGGAATGAATAGATCTATCGGGCCTAGTCCCCTCGGACCCGCCCAAAGGGATGCCAAGCCCCCGGGCGAGGGAGCCATTAACACCTCGGTGCGAGTGAAGGGGGAAATGGAAGGAGGCCATGACCGACCGTGGCCGTGACATTCACCGATATCCACCTCGGCGGCGAGGAGTCGCATGGCGAACGACGAGGCAGCCCAGCTCCTAGCCGAGCTATTTCAGCCCGAAGAAGCCCAGGCTGAGCCGGAGTTTACCGGGCTAGAAGCTAGTGAGGCAGCTCATCACGCGGCGGCCGCTGCTCTCGCCGCCCATCGAGCCGCACGCCAGTGCGGGATTGCCCGGATTCTCGCCCGCCGCGATCTGGAGCGGGCCCGCGACGCAGTACGAGCCGCCGAGGCCCAGCTACGAGAGGCCGAGGCGGCAGAAAAGGAAGCCCGGAAATCTTGGAGGAAGGCTGCACGGACGGCGGCTCGTCTAGCCCGGCTCGCCCGAGAAATGACCGCCGACAGTGATTCCGAAGACTAAAACCCAGGACAAACCCCCGATTGATATTGTGGTGACGCTATTAATTTTTTTGTTGTATATACTTGTGTGTTATTAATAAATGCAATGGAACTGAATTCGGCCGTCAAATATACCTGAATCGATCAAACGGTTCTTTTTATCCTAATGGAATTCGGGAGAGGGGCGGTCCGCCGGACAAGTGGATTTGGGAAGATATCGAAAAGGGGATGGATGGCGCGGTCGGTAAGAGGGGGGGGGGGAGACCTGAAATTATGGGCGTTTCTCATTCAGCTAAGAACCATTGTTTAGAAAAATGAAGTGATTTTTTTTTTTTTTTTGGTTTGTTGTTTAAGAGGTTTCAGGGCCGGAGTATAACTGTGAATGAGTAAGGAATATCGTTTGAACCCGGCCGGGCCCAGCCAAGACCTTAATCCTCACATTGTCCAGGGATCGAACGGGAACACGAAAAAAAGGGGGTGATTGGACTCCATTAGCACTAAGGAATGATATCATATTTTCGGCCACCTGCGGCGACCCCTGGTCAGAACGACACTCTGCCAGCGCCACCTACATCTCTAACGTCGGCATTGTGCGTTCCGGCCAGCGCCGCCACACAGACTGCACTTGCGTGCCGCCTGGTGTCAGTTAGAATAAACTCTGGTTCCCAGGCCTGCCGTGAGAGGTCGCAGCGGTGGTACACGTTATGCGTGCTGACTTCGCCTAACGATAACAGAGTCTCTCATAATGATATCGACGCGAAACTCGGTTGTATCCCGGTATCTCACTAAATTAAGCCCTTGAAAAAAAAACTGATAGCTTTTTAACGCATGAGTCCGGTCAAGTTACTGATAACCAGGCGGGCTGATTGATACCTTATTGATCAGTGAGTAAATGCGGCAGCGTGCTAATGTTACCATAGAAGACCGATCAAGGAAGTCGTTGAGTCTCACGCCATGGATGCAGCCGATACCACCGCCGACCGGGGAAGCGCGGCGATTCATACAGCTCTCAGTTGTGCCCCCGACACGAACAAATTCCGGCATGCCGTTGATCAACCTACTGGGAAGAAATGATAAATTCGAGTCAGGTCAAAATCTACCAATTAACAAATAGCAACGTCCGATTCCATCCATCTGAAGAATCATGTTAACATTGGTGAACGTAACGGCAAATCACTGGTCGTTGAAGGGGTGAACTCATTTAGCATGGTAAATAGTTTGTCAGTCGATGCGAGCTACCTTAGAGGTCCTCACACTAATCCACAGTATTGGTCAAAATCGGAGAGAGATGGGTTACTGTGTCTCAAGGTAGAACCCTGAATTATGAAACGGGCACGTTACTCCAGTCAAACATGGCAAACAGAATTTAACTAAAGTAGGAATTGAAATGCCCCATTGTGTCTACTAGCAGGTTGCATCTTCAATGAACGAGAATTGAGGGAACTATAGCTGTAATACTCACTGAATTGCAGACTGTCAGATTCCAGTAACATTAGGAGCCAGGGAAGCGGCTGTGAGGTTCGGACAGCGCCTGGTCTACTTTCGGTGTCTTTGCTCGTTGTATCAGTCCAGTTCGAATGAATTTTTAAGTGTTTGATGGTTTCAATTGGCTATAGGTTAAACTTCTGTGTACCAAAATTTAGATAAAGTTGTGAGGCCCTCTGCCATAGGTGATAGCCATAGGTGAAATGTTCTAAGCATCATTTCATGTAAGCTCATGATATTGAATCTTTTCACTGATTGATGGCAATCATGTGAATGGTTAATCCCTGCACAAAGATAAATTTTGACACAATGAACAGGACGTAGGCGTGATCCCACTCAAATCTGGGCAACCAATTGCGTTTGTGTTTGACATTGCACCTAAACCCGATTAGTCAGACATGCTCCATCACATCTCATCAAGGACTTAACAGCCAGAGACAAACACCTCCATAGAAGGTACTTTAATTATGCCCATTGCACAAACACTTGTTAAATCGTTCAGATACGTAAACTAGAAGGATTACATGATAGCTCAATTAACGTACACCAAGGTGAGTTAATTTCTTTTCTTTTAGTTTTGCCACAAACAATCCCTATAGCTGGCCTGGTAAACATCAAGGATCACCCGTCCTGTTGCTATTAACCCAGCTGATGACTGATGAGCAGGAACAACCATATGACCTTGCCGCGCCGAACCTCAGATAACCTCCACCCCGATCTCATGTGCAACATGGAAAACTACTGAATATCACCACTGTGGTTATAGTTTGGAAGAATATTTGGAAATTACGGAGGCCCGACTATTACAAACCGGCATTAGGTTATAACAGGCAAACAACGCCCAAATTCAGTCACAGTTTTTTTCTTCCATTTACATTAGTGTCAGCCAAGAAATAAACTTAACAGTTAAATTCTCATCATGACCAGAAAGGTTAATAGGAACAGCTCCTTGTGCCATCTAATTCAGACAATTGCCAAAAATTGACCAATCAGTAGCTAATAGTTGGCCCCATACAGACAAAATTGAGTACAAGGAATAGTCTGTGGACTTGATCCCATTCAATATAAGGCTAATCTTACTCGAAATTAACCATGCTTGTTAACAAGATTGGCCAGTGATACGCCCCATTACCTAGCATCAGGGACAGCAACATGACAAATTACCGAACGTCATCACTGCATTGACTGTGGTTGCTGGTTTTGATGAATACCTAGTCGGAATTTGAAGGTGGCAGACTATTACTAAATTGTAGCAGGTATATCAGGAAGGCATCAAAATTTGGCTTATCCAAATTTCCTTTAAAATACCAGTCGGTGACACACCAGGGAAATAAGCTAAAATAAGAGCGCTCTATTTATTGCTCCCGCTACTTCACCGTCTCCCATAGGGTCCTGTGTTGAGCTGGTGTCGAGGCTCTAAAAATGACGCCGATTTTTGCACCCTTCTCACGAAAACCGCTCGGACCGCCTGGAAACTAATTGTTCCGCTCTAAAAATTTCATGATCGACGGGAAAATGAATGAGGAAAAGATTGGTCCTGAAATAATTCTGAACTCCCTGTAGAACATATCGAAATATGGCTGCAAACTAGGAGCATGTCAAAATCGACAAAACAATACAAATAAACTTACCGGGATTTTTTTATTTTCCATGCATCTGTGTATGAAATCAGTCGGTTTTTCGGAAAGATCATCTTCTGTTTAATAAATAATTCCACAATTGCAATCGAGAAAAAAAAAACATTTCCGCTGTGACAGCAGTTTTGGCATTGTGCCAGTAGTGTGGCGTGCGCGGCGCTGCGTGGTCGTCGGGACGGAGTTGTGAGTATTTTCGGTGTTTTAAATGGTTGATGGCCATTTGAACCAGCTTTATATTATTTCCTACAAATTTTTGCATCAAATTATTGCTTTGAAAGACCATTGAAACCCCTTATCTCTTCATGAAACACGATCATATTCATCGTCGACGAAAATGGCGCGGGACTCCATGTGCATTCCGATCGAAATAAATCGTAAATTAAATAATATTCGATGATAAGTATCATATTCTAGTGACACGTTTTCATAAAATAAGGCATAAACTTTGCAAGGAAGTCAACATAGGATAATTGGATTCTTATTTTGCTCACATATCCTTGTAGTAGTCAAATGGCTCAATTGTTAGATAAATGTAAGTATATGTTTTGGCTTGATGTTTGCTGTGAAACCACCCAGCCACTTGCTGGTTGAGTGGTTTTCTGATAATTACCTGATAATCATTTCTCCTTTTCCTGAAAAGAAACTAAAATTCCTTTCAAAGTAATCCCTTTTTAGGAAAGGCGGATTGCTCATTGACATTTCATGTTCTTGTTTTGTTATTGCCGGCAGTATTTTGATACAATAATGCAATATGATTTTTTTTGCAATAAGAAAACCTAAGACAAACTTAGTTAATGCGTCAATCAAACACCCAACAGAAAGATTGTGAGTCCTTGTGACGTGAAGTAGAATATTCCATGAATGTGTTATATAGAATATGCCAAATATTAAATTAATTATTATTTGATACTGATAGCTGAGCATGTGAATTATGCCACAATATAATTACATTTTCTGGTTTTGAAATAGCCAGCAGTATTTTACTTCAACAAATGTAATATACATGGAATACATGTTGTTATGTTATGTTAAAAGTTTAATAACAGCCAATTGAAGGGGCTGTTTCAGCAGATAATGTTTGTACCTTATGCATTACCTTTCTTTTCTGCAGGACCATGCTTCCGCTGGGTGGTCGACATTTGCCTCCTGAAGAAGTTGAGCAACATGAAGACCACCAGATGAGGTGTCTGCAGTTCATGTGGAACTCTGCAGACTACAAGTGTTATGCCAACCACAACCAAAGTGCTGTGATCATGGAGGCATGAACCTCATGACAACACTTCAGATTTGCAGTTGAATCAAAGTGTGATTCAAACCACCTGTGGCATCTCACTCAATGTGTGAACAGTGTGATTATTGTGCAGTGTTCAGCTGCAACTAAGACATTTATTAGTGACTCGTTTTGCAATTAGCCACCAAAAGCATTTTTTGGGCTAGCTGCTGTAATTTGTTGTGCACTGCGCAATAGTGGTAGTGTTTTGTCACTTGTCAAGTTGTCAGTTGTGCATGTTGCATGTTTCTCTTCCCTCGGCCCTCATTATCAGTTAAGTGGTGAATTGGCATCACTCAGTCTCCCCAGATCTCCATTGACTGTCTGTCAACCACCCAACTTGAGATGGTATTTGCTAATAGTGTCAGAAAAGAAGTGATTGTAGACATTTTTAGGGATATGAGCTCCGTTTCATGCGTGTTCCAGTTGTCATTTTGTCACATGTCCCATAGTGTAATAAATGGAAACTGTTGTTCCCTTTTGAAGGTACTCGCGGATGCAGAAAGCGTTGGGCCTAATTATTAAACGCACCCTCCTATCAGCGACGCACGAAATCGACAAATATCATCCTTTCTAGAACAGGAGGAAACGAAAACTTGTGAACATAGCTGTACCTACAACAGTGCATAAGGAATTGAAATTCTGGGAGTTTTTGAAATTCGGAGAAACTCATGTTGTCGACAGGTATGCCCCCTTGCACGTCAAAGACCGCCTAAAAAAACAAACGTCTACAAATGAAGGCAGTATTCGTATGTTCGTTGTAATTGCAGCAGCCTAGCAACATGCATTGCGGCCCGATGGCGAATTACACTCGTGCTCAAAAACTATGCCGGTAACTGCCAATGCACTTAGGTCATAGGTGAGGAGAGGAAGGGTTATGTCATATGTCAACATCATAGAAATGGCTTCATCTGAGCTGTGCCTATTGTACATAATTCAACCAATCTATGCATTTCGTTTCTTGCAATCTACTCATGCCTTCACTCCAGCTTCAGAGTAATCATCCCATATTGTACGTATTGATTTCTATGGCGGTTTGCAATTGCTAGCCGCGTCTCACCTCAGTTTGGTGGCCCCGCATCGGCCCACTCGGCCGCTCTAAAATTGACTTACGGAGGAGGATGGTGGCTTTTATTTTAGCTTCTCCGCTGACTGCGGGGAGCGCCGTCGCCGAGGTAGGAGCAATAATTAGCTTATGTTTGGGACTAATTTCCACGCTTAATTAACATTTTAATGTTATTTTTATTAATTCATGTTAATCTTTGATGCATTCTCTTTCTATTGATACCATCCACCGGTCTGAGAATTACTGCCTTGCTGCGTAAGGGCCGATAAAAGATCACGCTTTTAGGGGTATCTCTTCAACATGGGGCAGGAGCAATAAATAGAGCGCTCTAATTTTAGCTTATTTCCCTGGTATGTCACCAACTGATACCAGCCAAGAAATACGACCTATCTGGGGTAGTTATCTTGGTGCCATTCTCCAAGGGCCACGATTTAAAGACGTCACGAGTCAACTTACTCTTGATTTAGAATGGTCCACCCTCCACCCTGCAGGGACCTGAGCAACTCACCCGCATTTCGGAATCTCTGTATTGGTTGAATTATTTGATCATGGCAAAAGTAACCACTCATTATATCAAGTAATATACGCTGAATAACTTGTATTTTTTTTTTTTTTTGACTGTTTGCAATTATATCCGGCCTGAACTAAATTCTGCCCAACAGATAGTACCTACAAGAACCCATTCATATTGTGCAGTGAATTCAAACTCGAGCCTCACACGTGGGTCTAGCAGGGCAAACAAGTGAATTATATGACATGTCGCATGAAATTCAAAAAAAAAGGCAGTCAATATATCATTTGAAATTGAGCCGAGTCCGGAGAATCAAACTGAGGCAAACTGTGCGCACACCTCACTTACCAGTCCGCCACAAATACTTACGAACCAAGAGGAATTACGGTAAAGATCTAGGTCCAATATCAAAATTTATCGATAACCCCACCCAATTTACAGTGAAACTAATAACTTTCCACAATTATCACTGAATCTACGCCGCGGCAAAATCCCGACATTTGAAAACCAGCGTGGGTTCAAGGTTAGGGAATTGCGAAAGCAAGACATGCCAACCGAACGCGATTTGGTAGCCGAGGTGTGCGGTATCGGCCGGGCGTAAAGTTTTTCCTTCACCACACAGTTTTTCGCGCAAACTGCCAAAGTTCATGCCAGGATATCATAATCTGGGAGTGAAGAGGGATTAAAGGGACCCTCCCACCTTCAAAAAAGTTAATGAATTGGCATGAAAGTGATGTCGCTCGGTTCAGAAAGAGCAAAAACGCATATCTACCAAATTTCATCGAAAAATATTCACCGGTTTTCAAGATATTAGACTTATACTTTTGTTTACTTTTTGGGATCTCCGCTGTTCCTAGCGACTTTATTTGAAAGTGCGGCATTTGTTGCGCGCAAAGCAGCATATACCACCGCGTGCTACAAAACGTTTTAGTCAAACATTTAACGGACGTTCGAAAGCCTGATGACGTCATCAGATTCCCGTAATGGTTAAGAGATAGGGACCACGCTGGTCCCACCCTGCAAGTAAAGGGAAGAAATTTCTTGAACACCATAAAGCTGCGGGGGTTGCGACCAGGATAAATGGTGGTTTCTGAGCCTGGCCGCAAACTTGGCTATCTCAACTCAAAACTAATGTTAAGGTGGGAGGGTCCCTTTAAGTTTCGGCCCCAGTAGGTTCAATGATTTGTTTATACAAGCCCATCTGCTAATCAGGCCACAAGGTAGGTAAAGAGTCTGAAATCGAAGTCCCAAAGAGACTGTCCAAACACAGACCCCGAAATATCACGTTCTTTTGTTTGTTTGTCAAGCAAAGTTATACAAAATTTTGAAATGCGGTTACACAAATTTTCCTGTTAAGGTAACAACAGTGCAAACACAAGAATTTACCAGGGGCGGTCACGTGACCGAAGATATAGTAGGGGTTGAAACAAACGCTTGAGGGGTTTAAATCTTTGTCTTTATGGGTCCCATGATTAAATTGAGGAATCGCGAATCGTTCCCTGACGTACAAATTTTTGGTGTGTAGAATAGTTTTTTTTTCTCCAGCAGAATTTATATCGTTTAGCCTGGGCCCTATTTCACTGCCGGCGCAGTACTCCGTCTTAGAACTTCGTCCAGGTCTTCCCCAAATCAATGCGACCTATCTGGGGTAGTTATCTTGGTGCCATTCTCCAAGGGCCACGATTTAAAGACGTCACGAGTCAACTCCTTTGCCAAGGTCAACACTGAGCAATCATAAGAAATAAATGACGTCACTGGTGGAAGTCCATGATGCTTACCAAATTATGGGCGTACTGACGGGCTAACATTTGTCGCGGAAATAAAAGTTACGTGACTGTTCCTCGTTATTCGATACGTACAAGTCACAACTGCAATTTAGACGAATATCGATGAGATGGCTGATAGACACCGACAGACACCTTCATGAACTAGACAGGTAAGGAGATACCCAACTGATTTCCGTAGAATGCTTAGGTATCCCTAACCATGGAGACCAGGGATATGCAAGGAAGTATAAGATTGATGCTAGCCGAAGAGGAGGTATGTTGCAGCACTTCTATGTGCTTCTAACTCTCTGATACGTCGAAACCTGCTTGGACTGGGATAGTCCCTCGTTGAAAGGAAATAATTTAAGATAGTTGAGCAAATAGAACGCCATAAGACGCCCAACAGAGAGGTGAGTTCGTTCAAAAGACAGAGAGTCAGACAGGGGCGAGGGAGCACCCCGCCGAAGGTGAGTGGTAAATACGAAGATGATAGAGGATAAGGCGAAGGAAGCAATACCGCCGGGATGAGGTGAGCCCACCGTTGGAAGGATCGCAGCATACGTCACTCATGACGCTAACGCGCTTGAACACACATCTGCAGGACAGAATTCCACGGCGTCGGATAAAATTGTAGGATAGATTCAGTCATGGAGTCTTCGAGTCACACCGGTCAATGATTCAAAGGCGCCACTTGCGGGTGCCATGACTACATGAGAGTACTGAGTAGGTACCTGTCTATGAGCCCAGCGAGACTGCGGTCGTCGGGGCGGCAGGGGTTGTGTCCACCGGTTCGTTAGGTGAAAACGCGTAAGACAGTCTCTCCCAGAAGGGCTGCAAGGGTTAGTAACCAATGTCCGGCTGCGGGGTTTTAGTAGGGAATCAGAGATGTGCCGTGAGCGGCAGGGGAGAAAGAGCCAATCACACCCGTCGACGAACGCTAATAACCAGTCGCTACACTGCGTCGTACCTTTAGACAAGTAATCCGGGTCGAGTGATGTAGGGTTCTAGGTTTAGTGGGCCGAGATGGGCCAAGGGAGGGTGCTAGGACGGGCACCAAGAGATCCAAGGTTACAGTGGGGCGCAATAAGTCGTTGTGAGGTGTGATTGAAACAAGAATTATTTTTTTTTATCCCCCTTACATTTAACACGGAACAAAAAAAACACTTACGTTTATGGCACTTCTATGCACCGCTGGAGGGAGTAGATTATCGTTGGGAGGGACCGAGAGGTCAACTCGGAAGGAAATTCATCGTAGCGGGATGGGCGTTGTATGAAAGGAAGTGTGCGTCGGTGAAAGATTGATGTACGCGTCGGTAGAATAAGGACCAGCGGGAGATTTGACCCTCAGCATAAAGGTGACCTCAAACGGGGATGTGATTTTTTTATAGGACAAAAAGGGGGAGAAATAGAAGGATTGATTCGTACTTACCCTAATCAGATGGTGGCTAAGGGCTGACCCTTACGGGGGGGGCATCAAAATTGTTGATAGGGGGAGACTTCCACATCCCAAATTTCCTTATGATGCAGACACCATCCCAGGCAGGAAGACTATATGTTGACAAGCGACAAGCCAGCCTCATTATAAATATTGTTTGTGACGAGCCCCAGGCGCAAGGAACGGTGGCGGAAAGGAATCGGTCAGCTTGAAACCAACGGACCGACCAGCAATTGGAAATGGGTGTGCAATTACGTTTGAACAAGAGAGAAATCAACCAGCAAGAAAATCAACTTATTCATCAACCATTTGAGGATCTACCAGCCGAAAACACTCACCTGAGGTCGTTCCAGAGCACGGCGCAGGTCGGCAACCATCTCGGACAGAAAACACCCCCGGTGAAAGAAATCTTATTAAACAATATTTTTTTGAAAACATACTCCCCACCGCTTCCGGACCCCCTAGGGGCACAATCACACATCTCTACTGTTTATCGATAACTTTGAAACACGAATTTTCTTATCTTTTGGTAAATATATGTCAAAACTTTGATTGTTTCGAGATCAGAGAAGAATTTTGGAGTGTCAAGATAAAAGTTAAACTTATATATTCAGTAGTTCATTTTTTCCAAAAAAGTGTGGGAAATGGGGTTTAACATGGGCCAGACCCATTCCAAATGAGCCATGATTTTTAAATGTTTTACGATTAAATGCAAAATAAATTAAACATGGCAAATTTCTTATGAAATCATATATTAGTAAATCATAAAATACCTTACTTTTTCAAATAAAATGTAATAATCTTATGACCTTGAAGTCTAGTGATGTGTAAACATTGTCGCTAGACATTAACCGATTGATAATTGTATGATAATCGACATTTTTTTCGCGATTCACGTGATGATACTTTGTCAGGTGAATTCTAAAATTTTGTTTTGTCCAGGGAATAAATCATAGGCCGATCTGAGAAAACTTTTTGAAGGTGGCAGTCTTCCTTTAAGGATTAGCGTGGGATCTCCGGGGCCTGCATTAGCTAGTATGTAATTTCAGAGGCCTGTATGTAATGTGTACACAGTGGCGGTCGCGGGGGGCATCAGGGCCATGCATGCCCCCCAAGGCACATAAAGGGGGCCATCATATCATTTGCCCCCCCCCCTCAAGCAACCGATGGGCCCCATAGGTGTATGGGACCCTGGCCCTGATTCGATCGTCACGAAGCTAAAAAAAAAAAACACGCCCAGCTATTAATATAGCTCCCACACCGGTCTTTGAGCGTCCAACACAGACCTCTGAGGGAACTTCAGTGGCGGTCAAGCGCCCACGTTGACCACTAAGAGCCCACATCGACCTCTGAGGCCCCACATCTGACCTATGAGGACCCCTAACCGGCCTCAGGGGCCCCAGCCGGCGTCTGAGGGTCTCACACTGGTCTCTAGTGGCCTTATTGCTGTCTCTGGTGTCCCAAGACGAACATTTAGGTGCCAATGAGGGCCCGGCATTGGCTGCTGAAGACCCGATGCTGGCCTCTAAGGGCCTGCATTGGCCTCTGAGGAGGGCTCATCTTGGCCTTTGAGGGCCCTCTGCTGGCCTCTGGGTTCCAACGACGGCTCATTCCGGTCTTTTAGGGCTCCACGCTGACCTCTGAGGTCCCCATATTGGCCTGTAATGAGTAGGACCCACATAAGCCTCTGAGAGCCCAACTCGGTCTCTGATGGTCTCAAACTACTGGCCTTTGCAGTTTGCAGGCCCTGTACTGGTCTCCGAGGGCCCTAAACTGGCCTCTAAGTGAAAACATACATGGGTGGGCTTCTGAAGATCACAGGGCTCACGCAGACTCCTGCACAGACGTATGTACGTTGGTCCTGATCGATATTACTTTACGTCCTGATGGTCCCGCGCAGATTCCTTCATATTTCGACGTCGGGACCCCATGAGCCGGTGTGGGTCCTGGGGCTGGCAGAGACTGATGAAGTCCTTAGGGCTCAGGGCCAGTCTTTTTAGCAGTAGGACTACAAGGCAGGTTGAGTGAGCCCCAATAGAGCCGTTGCGAGGCCCCGCGCGAGTCGTGCGCGGCCCTCAGATGCCAATTTTGAAAACCAGGAACCTGTGGGGCCGGGGGTTTCCAGAGGTCGGTGTACCTATTCTCTCCCGCCGCCAAACAACTATATGAGTAAATGTCATAGTCTGAAAATGCTCTCTGGGTTTCACGTGCTTGTTCAAAGCAAGAGGTATCCGTACTTTTCCGAATTGTTTTATTGTGGTAAGGTCATGAATCCGCGTGCCCGACCCTCCAGTATATGCTACACTGATCCGTCGCCATGGTGCAGTGGCCCGACCGGTGGAAACACCGTGGGATGGGAAATGGAACTGGTGCTTTTGCCTTAAATTGAGCTTAAAGATTTCACGCAAGAATGAG